TTCCTTCCTTTCCTCTTTGGTTTTTTTCCCCCTGACAATCGCAATTTTTTGAAACTTAATACATGCCTGATATTTTAAATGCATTATCTCCTTTCGTCTTCAACCAAACTTGTGAGTGAGTACTATTATCCTCTTCCACAGAGGAGGAGACAGAAGAATAAAGAATGATTTTGAAATGTGGTCAAAGACAAAAACAGAGAAGCGACAACTTGGGATTCAAAGCCAGGTCTGTCTGACTCCAAACTCAGACTGATTTCCACCAGGCACCTTCTTCCCCACCCCCAAGCAGGCTTGGATTTCTCTTTTCCCTCAGTCCAGTATTCTGCCCAGAACATCACTTAACTGCATTTTCTCAGAAGCAGCTAAAATTATACCCAGAGTCTCATGCTCAGTAAGGAAGAAACTATGCTGAAAGTACCAGCTGTGGACACAGCAAGAGACATGCCCTGTAGGCTACCCCTTCCCCTTTCCTACCCCAGCCGCTGAGGGCTGCGGAGCAGGACTGATGGTGGCAGTAGGTGACCTAGACAGGGCTGGTGCCTAAAACCTTGATCAACTCGTTGGGGGCTCCTTACCGTAGGTCCACGAAGGAAACTACACAGGAAAACTAATCTTGCAAACACACGCCACATAGACATGAATGCCACGCTTGTCACCTGGCCTTTCAAAAACCTTTGGGGACTTTATGCCAACTATTTTCTTACCCACTATACCTGGATCTATGCTTGCTTGTGTTTGTTCATTCAAACACACATTCACTGAGCACACCCTTGTTAAGCACCTGCTGTGTGCAAAATATACATTCAAATCATTTGAGCATCTATTACGCACCAGTGGTGCAGATGTAGCCACAGTGAAGACAAAGCCCTTGTGTATTCTAGGAAGGAGACAGAAATAAATAGATAAACAAATGGATATGATTTTTAAAAAGGTACCCAGTAGAGATACATGCTATGAATAAAGCCAAACTAGGGTAAGGGGATAGAAAGATAAAATGGGAGGAAAGGGGGATGGGCTATGTGAGACAGGGAGATCACCATGTTTTAAGTGTTGTCAGATATGCAAAAACAAATAAATCACAATCTTTGTATATACCTACATACTTACTGTATGATATTCCTATGCATAAAACATTCAGCCTTGTTTATGCCCGATACGCACACTTTGGGCTAAATATGTATACAAAATTATAGAAGTAATCTGTTTTTAGTATAAAAGAGTGGAGAAAATATCTCAGTGGTGTTTTTTCCCTATAATTAGCTAATGATTGTGGAATTTATAACATTTCCAAGTAGGTGTGGTATGTGCTCCGGTGTGCCATTTTCCTGAAATAACGCCTTCTCTCCCACCAAGGAGGGCTTCACGGGAGGGCGAAGGGATGGTAAATATGCCCACTTCCAGCTGAGAAATTTCCTGACTCCTGTCAAGCCTTTTCCTAACATTTTTTTGTCAAGACATTTTCTTGAAATTTTTTTCTTAAAAAAATTTAAAATTAGCCCTACAGGGAGGCCTCCCACCTGCACCCCACCAGGCAGTCCTGGCTGCAGTGGGAAGCATGGATTTAACACAGGCCGAGGGCCAGCAGGGGAGATTGCAGAGCATGCCTACTCCCGAAAGTGCGGAAGGAAGACCCAAAGGTGTCGGACCCAGGCAGAGCCCCTGCTTGCGAACAACAGCAACTGCCCAACTGCCCCGTTCGACTTTAGCAAAAAGGCAGACAGCGGAAGGCCGTGGAGGGAGCTAAGCGCCAGCAGGGTGAGGAAGTGGGCAGGATGGGGCATGCAGAGAAGTGAGGAAGGTTGGGCAGGAGTGGAGGAACTTCTACTTGGAACAGCCTCGCACCAGCTTCTCTACAGGGAGGCAGAGCACACACAGGACATAGGGGTCTGCCACAGAGAAACAGGGTGTTAGAGACCATGGCATGGGCTGGACGATACCAAACAACAATGACAAGTGTCCCCTGCAGCTTCCTGTAGGATGCAGACCAGTTTGTGAGGGGGAAAGGACCCGTTCTGAGTCTCAGAGCTGCCAGCTCCAGCGCAGGGGAGCAGATGAGAAAACGTTCCTCCCCCAACCAATCACTGCCCCTCGCACATCCAGACCCCAGCAAGGCTCCAACAGCCTCTGTGGGAGGGGGCGTCTCAAACCCTCCATGCTGTGAGGGGCCTTCAGACTGCAGAGGCCTCGCCTGTAATCTGCCACTGTCTCCTGGGCTCTAAGGTTGATAAAATCTTCCTTTCCTAACGCAAGAGCTAGGAGATAACTTAGGAGCTATCCTAAGCATCAAATGAGATACCAAATGTGACAAGTTTATTTAAAGCTACCTAAGATGCTATACAGACATGAGACATAATTAGCATTTTAGTAAATCGCACTGTGTCCATCGTATATTTTCAAGTATTTTATAAGGTTTTTTGTTTTTTGGGTTTTTTT